TTTTTTTTTGCATTCTTTAGTGTTTTAAATCACATATTTTAATAAATTTTTAAAAAGTATAGTTAAGATGTAAATTGAGAAAAACTACTCGTGATATGCCTAGTGATTTGAGTGGTGAAGCCAAAGTGAACTGAGCAAGTACATTTTATCTTCATAAAGAAACCTAATTTTGACAATCGGCCGCTCCTTTCTTGACTTTACAATTCAATGGCGAAAACCAATTATAAAATCGGGTGTGTGTTTATGCGAGTTTCTTATTTCATGTTTTTATCATGTCGGGTGTGTGTTTATGCGAGTCCCCATGATAGTCAATAATTACGGCAATTAAGGCATTATCAGCACATCAATTCAAGACTATTTAGGCAACAACCTTTAATAGAAATGGAAATGGCACAAGATACGTTCACAATGCACGACACATAAGACAGACAAAAAAAACAAAATTCGATGTCACAACCAGATCCTAATAGAATGATTATCAAAACATCATTGACAATTAAAAGCGTAAAGAGGTCGTAAGTTTCAAAGGTATTCCAAGGTAATCGAAAACAAGGATCAAAAGTCAAAAAATTTCACTCAACAGGTTTAGTGTCACGACAAATACAAAGAATAAAATTATGGGGTCTCCTTAATTTGGAAAGTCATGGTTTCACTCGAGATGGATGGGGTGCCAACTCTGTAGTCAAGAAAGACCCCTCAATAACGGCACTGTCATCAAAATGAAAAAGACTCTCGCTTTCGAACACCAAAATTGACACTAACAGCATGTCTTTTACTTGAAGAAAAGTATCTCAGCCTTCTTGAAGCACTGGCCGACCTCCCATCACTTCACGCTTCAGAGCATAGTCGCGGCCTTCAATTGTCTTGCGAATGCACTCATGCAGCGGCAAAGTGGCATAATGGTGTTCTACAACAGTCGGTAACGGCTGCAGAAGAAAAGTTGATTCATTTGTGAGGCTTCCTTAGGAAGCACTAAAGTTTAGATATACCGAACATATAAATGAGACTGTAAAAAAGAAAGACCTTTATTTATTTCTTTAAAACTTAACCAAAGGTGCATAAGGTATATATACATCAACACTCAAACAAACGGAATGAGCCACCACAAGAGATTAAAACAACATGCGGCAACAAAGACAAAAATTTGAGGTATGTAGTTTGAAAGAAAAAAATGAACCAAGGTAGTGCAAAAAACAGCAGTACCTATTGGCACAATAGAAATCAACATCAGACAAAGATTTTGGCCCAAGTAATCAAAAAACAAAATATATTAAACCATGTATTACTTAAACCCAACACTTGTACAATTTCGTATGTAAATTTTGGTTCAATTTCCACTTAAGTGTTTGTCCTAATTTCCACGAACTTAGGTGTTTGTCCTCTGAAATGCAAAGGACCATATGCATTATCTATTTCAAAGGTGGGACTAAAATCCACTGTACTAAGTGGGTGGCTGCAAAATAAAAAATTAGAAACACTGGCCAGGACAACTGCAAAAGTACATAGAGATTGTAAGCAAAAGTCTCAGTATAATGAAAGAATAGAGAAACCAAACATGCCACTAAAGAGATTACACAATCATAAAAAGTCACAACCATCTTTACAAAAATTAGCTATAAAGTGGTTCTTTACCTTCATTGCATTTCACGAAGATTCCATAAAGATACCACGACGAAACCTTAGACGTTCTCCAACACGCCGTCTTTATTTGTAGCTAGCATAAAAAAGGCTTAATAATGCACAACTGACGAACTGAAGAGCATCAGAACACAACTTATATGAGCAGCACTATAAATTGTCTATAGTTCGAGTATTGTGCTTTCTGAAAGCCGCAACACACGGTAACCCTGCATGAAAAAAAACGAAAAATGAATCAGTAACTCCAATGGAACTGTTGACGAAGAAGCATACTATGGAAAAAGAATTCAGCGAGCAAAAGCATAATCCACAGTAAAATAGTCTGCACACAGACCTCAATAAAGCAAAAGAAGTAATTTTTTTTTTCAGCGAGCAAAAGCATAATCCACAGTAAAATAGTCTGCACACAGACCTCAATAAAGCAAAAGAAGTAAATATATTTTTTTTTTTTCATCAACATGAGGCCCAAAAAACATAAAAGCTATGAAGAACAACACAACAACAAGGAACGTACCCACATCACACACATTGAGGTAGCACAATCCCAAAAGTGACATTGGCAAAACTTAATGCTACAAGATGATTGTAACGCCCCACTTTTATTTACCGAAATCAGAATAAATTTTTCGAAATTTATTTCAAAACATTTGAGGCGCTACTCATTTTTCAAA